TAAAAACTGCAAAGGCTGTATATTTTCATCTCCTATTTTTCGATGTAGTTATTTCTATGGTCCCGTAATAAAATTGGGACAGCATATATGGGCCGCCTTGTCCGTCTTTCTGTCCAGACTTTCGTGTACAGAGCACAACTTTGCCCAAAGTGAAGCAAGCATATACTAAAGCAATGTGCAGTGAAGCGAAGTGTCCGCGACCCCTAAATTACAGAGTTATTGTTCTTTTTGTCCATTTAAGATAATGAAATTTTGTGTATACATTTGTCTTACTAAGATGATATGCAGTATTACAAAATCAGAGACAGCAACCCATAATTACAAGGGTTAGTACCCATTTTGTTGGGGTTGTTTTGGGGTTTTCTTTCTCCATTTTATATCCGTAGCACAACTTCGCTTTTATCTAAAGAAACGTAATGGAACTTGGTGTATGCATTGGTCATACTAAGAGGATGCACACTGTACCGAATTCTATGCCTGCAACTCCTAAAATTACCAAATTATTGCCCATTGTTATAATTTTGTGTTTGATAAAGTCGTTTTCGGGGAGTATCAGTTTTATTCGTGCATTGGTTTTTGTTCTTTCAATTCTCACGAAGATACTGGTCAAAGTATCAGATTTTGTGTGGGCACAAAGAAAATCCGGAAGTCAAATTGGGGCATGGAAAAACTGAAATTTTACCATAACAAGAGGTCTATAGGGTCTGTATCGCTCACCTGAAACAACAATGGTATATATGCTTTCGTTCTTTAATTGTGACAGCTTTCTTCTTAAATGAAGGTGAACGGCGGTATAAATATATGGCTGTGAACTATACCGAAGCGTATTTCGTAAAAACAAATAACGTCCAAACTCAAACAAGAAATATACGATGGACAAAACCATTTAAAATGCTCGAGTTTCTGGTTGACAACATCTTCGTAGAGTTTGGTGGTAAGATCTTCCAACAGACTATTGACTGAACTGTTTTTTTTTTCTCTCATACGAGGCTGAGTTTTTTTTAAGAACTTGTCAAAAACAGGTAATACAGATTTCGCAAAGTTGTTTAATTTCACTTTCAGACATACTAATGACATTTTTAAATAACAAGAAAATTGTTGACCGCATCTATCGTAAATATCCACCAGAACTTGAAATCAAAAATACGACAGACTCTTCTACATCAGCAGCTTATCTCGATCTTTTCCTACAACGAAACCAACATGGACAGCATTCTACCAAGCTGTATTATAAACGTGGTGATTTAAATGTCCCTATTATGAATTTTCCATTTCTGGATAGCAATATCCTACAATCCCAACCTATGATATGTACATGTCGCAATTGATTCGATATTCATGCGCCTGTTCCCAATTATCAAGATTTTCGTGAAAGAAGTCACTGGCGGACAAACTCCTAACAAAGAGTTTCAAAAGTTGCAAGTTGCTGAAAATTATAGGGAATCTTTCTGATCGCCTTAGTGATCTCATTGAGAAATATTGTATTTCTTTGTGCAATATGAAGCTGGACGTGTTTCAAGCTCATTAGTTTGCCTGTTGGTTCCGTTGTTGTATAACTTGTTCTCATTTGACCAAGGTTTACAGAGCGGGTGTCGTCGTTGAAGCATAAGACGCTTACTCTTCCGGAACACCAGGTCCTGTATTCACGAAACCTTTTTCATGCTCAAACTCAACTTTTGTGCTCATGATTAAGTCTGTGCTCCAGTGAGAACGTACTCAAAATCGGGCCCAGGTCTTATTCTCCTTGTTCTTTTTCAGGAATCTCTATGTAAATCTTTCCTTTGTTCATATTTCGCCATGGTTTTTATGAATTTGAGTTTTGATTAGGAGTTTATTAACATGTTAGTATTTTATAGTTTATCAAAATCTGTTTCAAGAATTCGCTGACGATGATGTTGACGTTGTGATGATGGTTGTGGCTGACGTTGTGAGGCTGATGTTGTGATGTTAAGGTGATGGTGACATTGTGATGTTGTGGTGATGGTGACGTGATGTTGAGGTGATGGTGACGTTGTGATGTTGAGGTGATGGTGACGTTGTGATGTTGAGGTGATGGTGACGTTGTGATGTTGAGGTGATGGTGACGTGATGTTGAGGTGATGGTGACGTTGTGATGTTGAGGTGATGGTGACGTTGTAATGTTGAGGTGAGGGTGACGTTGTGATGTTGAGGTGAGGTTGACTTTGTGATGTTGAGGTGATGGTGACGTTGTGATGTTGAGGTGAGGTTGACGTTGTGATGTTGAGGTGATGGTTGTGGTTGTGATGTTGAGATGAGGTGTTGTGATGTTGAGATGAGGTGGTGTGGTTGTGATGTTGAGATGTGTTGTGGTTGTGATGTTTGGATGAGGTGTTGTGGTTGTGATGTTGAGATGAGGTGTTGTGATGTTGAGATGAGGTGGTGTGGTTGTGATGTTGAGATGATGTGTTGTGGTTGTGATGTTGAGATGAGGTGTTGTGGTTGTGATGTTTGGATGAGTTGTTGTGGTTGTGATGTTGAGATGAGGTGTTGTGATGTTGAGATGAGGTGGTGTGGTTGTGATGTTGAGATGAGGTGTTGTGGTTGTGATGTTGAGATGAGGTGTTGTGGTTGTGATGTTGAGATGAGGTGTTGTGATGTTGAGATGTTGAGATGAGGTGTTGTGATGTTGAGATGAGGTGTTGTGGTTATGATGTTGAGATAAGGTGTTGTGGTTGTGATGTTGAGATGATGTGTTGTGATGTTGAGATGAGGTGTTGTGGTTGTGATGTTGAGATGATGTGTTGTGATGTTGAGATGATGTGTTGTGGTTGTGATGTTGAAATGATGTGTTGTGATGTTGAGATGAGGTGTTGTGGTTATGATGTTGAGATGAGGTGTTGTGATGTTGAGATGAGGTGGTGTGGTTATGATGTTGAGATGAGGTGTTGTGATGTTGAGATGAGGTGGTGTGGTTGTGATGTTGAGATGAGGTGTTGTGATGTTGAGATGAGGTGGTGTGGTTTTGATGTTGAGATGAGGTATTGTGGTTGTGATGTTGAGATGATGTGTTGTGGTTGTGATGTTGAGATGAGGTGTTGTGATGTTGAGATGAGGTGGTGTGGTTTTGATGTTGAGATGAGGTGTTGTGGTTGTGATGTTGAGATGATGTGTTGTGATGTTGAGATGAGGTGTTGTGGTTATGATGTTGAGATGAGGTGTTGTGGTTGTGATGTTGAGATGATGTGTTGTGATGTTGAGATGAGGTGTTGTGGTTGTGATGTTGAAATGAGGTGTTGTGGTTATGATGTTTGGATGAGGTGTTGTGGTTATGATGTTGAGATGAGGTGTTGTGGTTATGATGTTGAGATGAGGTGGTGTGGTTTTGATGTTGAGATGAGGTTCTGTGGTTATGATGTTGAGATGATGTGTTGTGGTTGTGATGTTGAGATGATGTGTTGTGGTTGTGATGTTTGGATGAGGTGTTGTGGTTGTGATGTTGAGATGATGTGTTGTGATGTTGAGATGAGGTGTTGTGGTTATGATGTTTGGATGAGGTGTTGTGGTTGTGATGTTGAGATGAGGTGTTGTGGTTATGATGTTGAGATGAGGTGTTGTGGTTGTGATGAGGTGTTGTGGTTGTGATGTTGAGATGATGTGATGTGGTGTTGAGATGATGTGTTGTGGTTGTGATGTTGAAATGATGTGTTGTAGTTATGATGTTGAGATGAGGTGTTGTGGTTGTGATGAGGTGTTATGGTTGTGATGTTGAGATGATGTGTTGTGATGTTGAGATGAGGTGTTGTGGTTATGATGTTGAGATGAGGTGTTGTGATGTTGAGATGAGGTGGTGTGGTTGTGATGTTGAGATGAGGTGTTGTGATGTTGAGATGAGGTGGTGTGGTTTTGATGTTGAGATGAGGTATTGTGGTTGTGATGTTGAGATGATGTGTTGTGGTTGTGATGTTGAGATGAGGTGTTGTGATGTTGAGATGAGGTGGTGTGGTTTTGATGTTGAGATGAGGTGTTGTGGTTGTGATGTTGAGATGATGTGTTGTGATGTTGAGATGAGGTGTTGTGGTTATGATGTTGAGATGAGGTGTTGTGGTTGTGATGTTGAGATGATGTGTTGTGATGTTGAGATGAGGTGTTGTGGTTGTGATGTTGAAATGAGGTGTTGTGGTTATAATGTTTGGATGAGGTGTTGTGGTTGTGATGTTGAGATGAGGTGTTGTGGTTATGATGTTGAGATGAGGTGTGGTTGTGATGAGGTGTTGTGGTTGTGATGTTGAGATGATGTGTTGTGATGTTGAGATGATGTGTTGTGGTTGTGATGTTGAAATGATGTGTTGTGGTTATGATGTTGAGATGAGGTGTTGTGGTTATGATGTTGAGATGAGGTGTTGTGATGTTGAGATGAGGTGGTGTGGTTATGATGTTGAGATGAGGTGTTGTGATGTTGAGATGAGGTGGTGTGGTTTTGATGTTGAGATGAGGTGTTGTGGTTGTGATGTTGAGATGATGTGTTGTGGTTGTGATGTTGAGATGAGGTGTTGTGATGTTGAGATGAGGTGGTGTGGTTGTGATGTTGAGATGATGTGTTGTGGTTGTGATGTTGAGATGAGGTGTTGTGGTTGTGATGTTTGGATGAGGTGTTGTGGTTGTGATGTTGAGATGAGGTGTTGTGATGTTGAGATGTTGAGATGAGGTGTTGTGATGTTGAGATGAGGTGTTGTGGTTATGATGATGAGATGAGGTGTTGTGGTTGTGATGTTGAGATGATGTGTTGTGATGTTGAGATGAGGTGTTGTGATTATGATGTTGAGATGATGTGTTGTGGTTTTGATGTTGAGATGATGTGTTGTGGTTGTGATATTGAGATGAGATCTTCTGTCTTCTGTTAGGTACATAAGCAGTAAGGAGTCAGACAGTGACCTTGAACTTTCACCTGATGACCTTAAAATGCTGTAAAGTGACTCCAGATGAGATTCAAATAAACTTCATATGCATCTTAATGTCAATACACTATCAGTAACTCAACATAAAATCACCAACAAATTGTTTATTCACAGCTCAAATAGTTCACAACATAAACCAAGAAACATGAATCCCACATATCTTAAAGAAAAAATCTGGTCTTTGGTCGACAATCAGTTGTGGACACTATTTTTCAGTTTTGCTCCTAAAAGCCTACAATGTATAAAACAAATGTCTTTATAAGTATGTAACATTGATTACACATAACAAAGTATGAACTTTTGTTTATAATTCATCTTAAAGGTTTAATGTACCATTTAAACAAGAAGCCAAAGGGGCCTGAACCACTGCAGCTAAAGTAGATGACATTGTCAGCTTTATAAATTTCACCAAATTTGAAAGCCCACTTCCCAAGTATGTTACCATGACTCTGTGTAGTTATTGACAACAGATTTGAAGTATTTAACACATTTGACTCCTGTGATCTCCAGCATCCTACTAGAGTGCCTTTTGCTTGTTCAGAATTTTTAAAAAGATTTCAACACATTTATCCCTAAGGCTTGAAAATTAGTTAAGGTAATCATTAGAACAATTTGGAAGCATTTTGTCCCAGCATGCAACTGACCCAATATCAGTACCTGGGGATTTGGTTACATGAACCCTGTGACCATGGAAATGAGTAAAGATCCATTTGAACAAATATGGTAGCCCTTCTTTCCAGCTCTCAGATCTGTTAGAAAATTTGAGCAGATTTGAACCATGTGACCTTGAAAATGAATCAAAATCCTTCATCCCAGCTGTCAGGACTGTTAGAAAATTTGAGCAGATTTGCACCCTGTGACCTGTGATATTTGTGCCTACCTTGGATCCTAGTCTGCAGTTTCCATGGTATCACCAATCCTAATACACTGATGCCTTACAGCTGTGATTGGCCATGTCATACCAGTAATTATGAAAATCAGATAAGAAACTGTGAAGGAAAATTTGTTCACAGTCTTTTCCTTGTTGGCCATGAAGGGCATAGACTGAAAAAAAAGTTGTCAATTATTCACAACAATATAAGTCATATTGAAAACAATGGAATATTGTAATAGTAAAATTCAGCAACAAGAAAGGATAATCCAGGAGGGGGCTGACATATCTGGGCGGCTGGGCCCTTCCAATCTGAAAGTGAGTCCTCCCATTTTCATCTAATTTTACACAGGAAGGCCCATCCGATTTTTAACATTGAAAACAAAAGCCCAAAAGTGACCTCATGAGCATTTTTCCCAGGCCTTAACGATTGACCTCACATCCTCTCTAGGAAGTGTGTGACACCTTGAATATTGACCTCACATCCTCCCTAGGACGAGTGTGACACCTTGAATATTGATCTCACATCCTCTCTAGGAAGTATGTGACACCTTGAATATTGACCTCACATCCTCCCTACGATGTGTGTGACACCTTGAATATTGATCTCACATCCTCTCTAGGAAGTATGTGACACCTAGAATATTGACCTCACATCCTCTCTAGGAAGTATGTGACACCTTGAATATTGACCTCACATCCTCCCTACGATGTGTGTGACACCTAGAATATTGACCTCACATCCTCTCTAGGAAGTGTGACACCTATCCCACCTGGCCAGTATGTTTTGTGATAAGCTATCCCACCTGGCCAGTATGTTTTGTAATAAGCTATCCCACCTGGCCAATATGTTTTGTAATAAGCTATCCCACCTGGCCAGTAAGTTTTGTAATAAGCTATCCCACCTGGCCAGCAAGTTTTGTAATAAGCTATCCCACCTGGCCAGTATGTTTTGTAATAAGCTATCTCACCTGGCCAGTATGTGTTTTAATAAGCTATCTCACCTGGCCAGTATGTGTTTTAATAAGCTATCTCACCTGGCCAGTATGTTTTTTAATAAGCTATCCCGAAAGGCCAGTAGATTTGCATCATTATCAAATCAGTCAGTTTCAAATTATTACAACAACAACATGCCATAAATCAATCTGGTCTGTGTCAAGAAAGCCTGTCAGTCAGGATGGAAAACATGGCTGCTCCCATCTAATGATGGTCAGGGATAGGTTTTAGAAGAGCGTTTACAGCCTAAAATGACTTATACAACAAATCAGGAGGTTCAAATGATACATACATAATATGAGATTAAACAGGTGAAAACATGTTTATCTAAATGGAACGATGTGTTTCAGTTTCCAAACTGACAATTCTGAATGGTATGTGTGAATTGTAATAATTAAGTTTGAAGCACACAATAATTTCATAACCGATGATTGCCCATGAAAAGTCTAACCTCGTGATAAGGACAGGCTCACAATATCAGACATCAAAAAGTGTAGTATTACCGACACATTTCATTGGTAAGGAGGAACAAACGATTGTTCAAGTCAACAAGAAATCGTATTCCTCAGAATTTTTGGATTGCTCTCTAAAGTCATGATCATGTTCCTATACACATCGCGAAAAACAAGATGCCCATGGGGCCTGTATTACTTGCCTGGCTTTGTTTGGTTGATTTAATTGCTTCATCAAAATTAAAGGAAAAGGAATTCTAGGTCTATATCTATTTCCCATTTGGAACCCCACCCCTCTGCCCCAGTTGGTCAGCCAAACTATTGATACAAAAGTCTCTTTCATGCAGCCATGATTCATACCAAATTAGCAAATAATACTGAATACAGAAAAAGAAGGATTCAAAGAATTTGCTCTATTTCCCCATATGAGTGACCTGCACCTTCTTCCCTTCAGGGTTTGACCCAACATGTGTTCAACAGTGAGTCTCCTTCACTATAGACTGTTTCAAACCAATTAAGAATTTGATTTTGATTTTTCCCATGTTGGGTCCATCCCTCCCACCCCTCAATCTTGAGTCTCCTTCACCACAGAATGTTTCAGGCCAATGAGACAGAATCTGGGAATTCTTTCAGAAGGAGGATTTTGCTCTTTCCTTATTGGGCCCTTTCCTTCTGCCAGTTTCCATATTGGGTCCATCCCTCCCACCCCACAATCTTGAGTCTCCTTCACCACAGAATGTTTCAGGCAAATGGGACAGAATCCAGGCATCTGCTTCAGAAAAATTTGCTTACCTATCGTCCTTCCCTACGTAAAATGAAACCTTATTTTTGCCCTGATGTAAGTGTTCTGGTCTTTCTTTTTTTTCAAGTGGGGTTATTTTTCATTAAACTCATCTTTTACTTCAAATATGGGGACATGTTACACACTTCATTTACACAATCACTTGGTACTATGTGAATGTTAAGTACGGACTTGTGACCGAGTTTATCTGAATATGAGTTATCTCCCCTATATCATCACTCTTTCAAGCCCTTATCAGCATATTGTAAGTTACCTTTATGTATATTTTAATTATTTTTTTCTCCTTGAAATTTCAAATTGAATGTTAAATATTAATTTGATGAAATAAGCGAAGAGCATTTTCTCAGCAGTACGGTATTTATTCCTCTCTATCAGTTTGCTTCGTGCTGGGATCATGATATACGTTTAGCTAGGTTCAGTATGTTTCTGCTGTAAAACAAATCGAAACACAGGCGAACACAGGTGAGGTGTAGACCTGTCTCAAAATTTGATGCAAACGAGACTACTACGCATCAGCCAGTGGTTTTATCCAAAAAATGATCAAATTCGAAGGTCACACCCAGAAATACAAACTGTTGCATGTTTTGGTTCGTTTTCATAACTGTAAGAAATATATTTCGTTAACTCACGTCATTGGGTATTCCGGGTGGGGTATCATGTAGAATCTTTCCGGTAGTGAAATTCCGACGAGGGATGATTGTTTTGCAGAAATTCGAGCATAACTTTGTCATTGCGGCCATGTTACTTTTTTGGCACATTCGATATTCGGAAAAAATGCGGGAAATAGAGTGTGTCTATGGATGTATCTGATTGGCCAGGAGATTGTGACTGTCTAATTAAACACCGTGTAGTATAGGTCCCAAAACCGAACAAATTAACAAAAACAAATAAATAAAATCCATTTAATAATTGTGCTTTTTATTTATTTTTATTTTTTTGTAGTTTCGTGATGTCTTGTTAAAATAGAGAAATACTGTAAAAAAAACATTCTTAATATATCTGTTGTGAAATTGGGTCATATGTTTGAAGGAATCATCACGGGCCCACACTTTAGTGTAGGCCTCGTGTTGAACTGAAACCGAATATTTAAAGACATCGATTTTTACTAGGCTCGCTTTCAAAATTCCAATTCACATTAAAATGGACAGAAACATGATAAAGCAGCATTATATGTAAAAGATCAAAGAGAGATCAAGAAAGCCGACGTGTGTTAATTGTGTACGCGTTGGTTACACACAGGTACAGAGTGTAACAAAATGACGTGTACGCGCACGTGTGTGTGTGTGTGTGTGTGATTTTCGATGTAATTTTTCACTGAAAAATATAGATTATATCATATTACAAAAAACCCCGCTAACTCGAGCTCATTTGATCAAGAGAGATGCACTGAGCAAAACAATTTACAATAAAAACAACACCACGATTTTCAATATTGGATTACACGTAATAGATAATAAACCCTTTTATAACCAGACAAATAAACAAGACTTTATGTCAGATGACTGTTCCATTCAAGACACTATTAGAAATTTAATCTTAATTAGAATAAGAAATTTTAGTATATATATATATATAATGAAGATTATAAGCAAGGATGGTGAGAATACATGTCTCTAAACCAAGATGTCTCTGAAGTGAACCCACAGGGCTGTCTGGATAACATCCCGGTGTACGCTTTTTAAAGGACGGGGTCGCTTTTATAAAAGCGCAAACTACGGTTTTAATTTGCAGATAAATATTCAAGGCACGGTGCCAGTGGTAAATAATAAGACAACTTTTCAAAAAAGACAGCTAGATTGAAGGCAACTATCGGAAAATTAGTTTTCTTACTGAAGTGTAAATAATTCCGGAAAAAAAGCCCGTCTCCAATACACGAAGTTAGTTGGTTAGATAACGTCTCAAACAGCTGAATGGTTGCTGTTCACTGGTATCAGTGGATCTTCAAATGGCAAGTAGTGGGGATGAGAGTTTTTTCTCTGGGAATGAGAGTTCTTCCTTGGGAATGAAATATCTTTTCCGTGTATAAGAGTTCTTCCCTGAGGGGAGAAAAGTATTTTCCTTGGGAAAAGATATATTTTCGGGAAATTAAAGTACTTCCCCACCCTCCATTCTATGGAAGAACTTGCATCCCCTGAAAAGAGCTATCACACCCTGGGAAGTACTTTTATCCCTACTTCCCAAACCTACATAGTTACCAGTTATCCCTACTTCCCCAACTTACACAGACACCAGTGATCCCTACTTCTCCAACTAACATAGTTACCTGTGATCTCTACTTCTCCAAACCTACATAGTTACCGGGTTTCCCTACTTCCCCAACCTACATAGTTACTAGTGATCCCTACTTCTGAACCCTACATAGTTTCTTGACCTCTGCTTCTCCAACCTACGGTGCCTCCATGTTTCAGATAATTCGATATTAAAGGTCTTGTTGCCAGTGTTACAATTTCCTTCTTAGTACCTGATCTACTGAGCAGTCCTGATTGAAGTAGACTGGGGGAACATTTTATAATCGTCATCATGATCTCACTGTAAAATATACTATTGATTCTTATTTGAGAATGTGACTATGATTGACCAAGATATACATGACTGGTGTCGTCTAAGCATCATGAGCCGCTTTCCCTTCCCTAACACCTGGTCCTTTTCTCCTCGTACTTTACATACGTATCCAAATTGTTCACCTCTTTTGACATTTGTCCTCGTTTCCTTGAATTTCAGTTTTAATTAAAGATTCTTTAATATCTCAGTACTTTTTTAACCAAAATTTACATAGTTTTTGTAAAAGAAGTAGGCGCGTACCCTTCCGGAACACCGTTATGTTCTCCTTTTTATTTTAATTCCGCAGTCTCTTTTAAATCCTTCATTTGTTAAGATATTGTCTTCGTTGTATCTATTTTTTTCAGGTTTGATTAAGATTTTTTTGACGTGTAGATATTAGGCTACTCGCATTGGTGAGGACCCCAGCTGTACACGAACAGTAAGTAATGTACAATATATATCAAAAGTTCACTTCCATGTCTTATACAATCCTTTGAAATTGCAAGGTGTAGACACTGCTGGTGGACTCCCTCATACCATATTTATAGACTATATGCATTGGCGAGGCTTTTTAATAAGCTAATGTTAATGAATCACGAGACTTACCGAATAATATGATATGAGGAGCATATTCATCTGTAATGTAACATTGAAGCAAAAGTTTGAACCAAAGACACAAGTGAATAGCTCCTTTAATACAAATTTAGATACAGTAGAGTTAAACAATGAATGAAACTACACACTGGTTTGTCCTGCCAAGTACTGTTAGTGATGCTAGGGGCCTAAATTACTTTACTTTTGTGTGGAACATTACTTACTTTGATTGACCATGAGTGAATTACTAGACGTTCATCCTTCCGGAACACTTGGTCTTGTTTTCCTTGTAAATTTTCGTGTAAATCATTCTCTTGGTCATATTTCTCCTCGCTCCGTCAGTGATGCTACATCATACAGCTTTTCGTCCTTCTTGGACCTGTCAGTGATGCTACATCATACAGCTTTTCGTCCTTCTAGGACCTGTCAGTGATGCTACATCCTATAGACGTTCGTCCTTCTAGGACTCGTCGGTGATGCTACATCATACAGCTGTTCGTCCTTCTAGTACTCGTTAGTGATGCTACATCATACAGCTGTTCGTCCTTCTAGGAGTTGTCAGTGATGCTACATCATACAGCTGTTCGTCCTTCTAGGGCTCGTTAGTGATGCTACGTCATACAACTGTTTCATCTTTCTTGGACTCGTCAGTGATACTACATCATACAACTGTTTCATCCTTCTAGGACTCGTCAGTGATACATCATACAACTGTTTCATCCTTCTAGGACTCGTCAGTGATGCTACATCATACAACTGTTTTGTCCTTCTAGGACTCGTCAGCGATGCTAAGACCCGATTTTTTTCTTGAGTCTAGGAAACAACCAATGGAAATCCTAAGTAACGAATTTTTTTTTTAATATTTAGATTTGGAGGTGCACGAGACTTTTAATTTGATAAATTAAGTATTTTGAAAAAAAAAGCATCTGATAACTTCAGAATGACACCAAGTACGTATCTATATTCTGAGCCGTGCCACTATTCGAATGGATGAACACCTAATATAGAATTAACGCGCGCAGACCGGTATGTAATGATCATAAAAAACTATTGTATAACCATTTGTGTGTCTAGTCTGTCTCGTGATAGGATTTAAATGTGTATGTGTTTGTCATGCTATGGAGTATCTTAAACAGTCTTTTTTTAATCGCTGACCTTTAACCTCCTCGTTTTAGGAATAAAACATTAGGTATTCCTGCCACATTCTCCAGGAAGTACTTTATTAAATGGTGCATGGTAAAGTTAAAGTTAGGTAAGTGTACAGTTAGGTTAATTATACACTACTATATTTATCCTATATTACAAGTCTAAATAATTTCCTTCAGAATATATGCACATACTGCAAAATATACATATTTTCGCGGGTTTTTTTTTAGCAAATTCCCACTAGCGAGACACTTTTTTCGTGGATAAACATACCGCAAAGAATCTACTAATTCAAATTTTACTAGTTTATAAGTTTAAGAGTGATAGAATATCAGTATACCTACAGAGAATTTTCCGATCGGTTGAATGTCAGATTACTAAGTCAGAGGTCCCAAAGTGGAATCTTTGCGGAGGCATTGAAATATATAATGACCTCTGTTGCAGAAGTTTTATAACAAAAAATAAATGATACATTGTAAAGCCAATTAAAGGGATTATACTAAAGACAGATGACAAGGACACTGTACTATAGATTTAGAATCTTATACTCTAATGAGGAATTGAACTATAACTAACATTTCTGTCGTCCTTTCAGGACTCGTCAGTGATGCTAAGGGCCTAAAATATATATATACCGGGTGGCTGAAGAAAATCAAAATAAATCGACAGAAAAAAAAAACAGGTGGAAGAGTGGAGTTACCCCGGTTACTTACCCATATCATACCTACATGACTTAATCACTCGGTACTATCAATCGCTGGTGTCAAAGGTTAACACCGATAAGGTGAATACTTCCTTATTTGGTGCATAGTTTACCCTAAACGACCACAAAGAAGAATATTATAATGATTGTACAAATGTTACTTTGACTACCAATCGTCTTCTAAATCTAAAAATAGATGTTTCCATTTTTAGGTGAAATGAATTTCTATTTCTCCAACAGTTTGGTGAGTGGCTCTTACAAAATGTGGTTTCGCATAGAACCTCTCTCTTATCTTACTTATATCAATTATCACTTTCTTAAATGTAATTCCAATATATTATTTTAAAGGATTTTTGTTATTCGTTGCATTTTCGAAAATAAAACACAACCAAGAAAAATATATACATTGAAAACAAAATCTATAAGGAAAATAGCCTATTCCGTATAATTCCTCGAAAATTACATTCGTCCTTCTTTAAATCCGCGAAAATATGAGTCATGAAAAAACTGATCGGCATAGTATTATAACATCAAGTTCTTAAACAGATATCGACACTTAGTACAATATAATAAAGCATGTTTTTTATAAATCATTTATTGACACCTCAAACAGTAACAACAACCGCCAAAGAAAACAAATCCGACCGAGTATTCAAACAAATCCTGCCGATGGTTGACGGACACTGTTCAGTTTTGCTCAGTAAGACCTGAAACACATGGATAAATTCAAAACACTTACAAACATATGTATTTACATTCATTATCATAAACAAATAACAGAGGTAAGAAATGAAATCCGTATTGATCACATCACTAACAATCGACCGTCGTACCTTTAGATCTAGACCTATTACTTTCCTCTCTGTGTTTACCTCTCATCTCTATTCTATTGGATCTCGTACCTATTATACTTACCTCTCTCCTGTATTACTTCATGGTAGCCCCCATCCTGATATGCTGATACCTCACTCCTCCCCTTCTGTGGGTACTTCTATGGCAGCCCCTATCCTGATATGCTGGTACTTATCTCACTCCTCCCCTTCTGTGGGTACCTCTATGGTAGCCCCTATCCTGATACACTAGTACTTACCTCACTCCTCCCCTTCTGTGGGTACCTCTATGGTAGCCCCTATCCTTATACACTAGTACTTACCACTATCCTCTATTCCTCTGTGGGTACCTCTATAGTAGCCCCTATCCTGATACAATTGTCCCTTACAGCCATAATGGGCCACATCATTCCAGTCAGGCAAAACAGCATATAAGATATCGTAAATGACACCTTGTTCACCTTCCCATGACTTGCCGCCATGAAGGGCATCGACTGAAATAAGACAAATTTGCCATCATTTGTTACATAGAAATCGAAGAGGACCAAACGTTGGCACATTTTATTATTCGTCAGAGGCTGCTAAATTTTGAATAGTAACTGGTCTTTTCCTGCCTTTGTAAACAACAGTTTTCTTCCTAATGCCTCTCTTGACTCCTTTAGAATTTATTTCAGAATTTATTTCAGAATTCTCCTCAGTGATGAAAGCGTTTGATACTGTCCCCTGTCATACTAGAGACTTTAAAATACTTGTTTAACGTTCAGCATTGCAGTAATGTAACGACTCGTTGTCAGTATGATGTGGCCGATTGGTGAGTTTTATTTCGGAAATAAGCTTCAATGATGTTGCATTATAAACCCGGTATCAGTACCATACTCTCCAAAAAGGGGTTGCCTCCCACAAACACACGTGTTCATCTCGAATACATACGGAGTCCTTAAAATACTACAGATATTAATTGGGCGTAAAGCAACACAAAAGCGAACGGTGTGATCCATAAAGTTCCCTGTATACTGTAAATCACTTTACTTCAGCGAGTATTTAATTTCGCGAAAGGTCAGAGCTTTATTCGCGAATACATTTTTCGCGGGTACCACACTACTACAGTAGTTTATTTAAGGGCAACATCAGCATGAGTATATCCCCGAGGGACTTGAATTTGGCGATGATGATACTCGCGAAAAAACGCAAAATATAATCCCTTGAGAAGAATAAGTGATTTATAGTATTCTATTGGTTTCCGAGACAGTCAAAATACAAACATTCAAAGACGCTCCTTTTGAATAATTTCAGATATTTTTTCGGATGAAAAACTCTTCATATTGGTGAAAAAGGAAAATAGAGCAGAATTAATTATACAACTTTGACCCACTTTATGATCAATGAAAAACTCTTCATATTGGTGAAAAAGGAAATAGTGCAGAGGTTATCATAAAACTTTGACCCACTTTAGGATCAATGAAAAACTCTTCATATTGGTGAAAAAGGAAATAGTGCAGAGGTTATCATACAACTTTGACCCACTTTAGGATCAATGAAAAACTCTTCATATTGGTGAAAAAGGAAAATAGAGCAGAATTAATTATACAACTTTGACCCACTTTATGATCAATGAAAAACTCTTCATATTGGTGAAAAAGGAAATAGTGCAGAGGTTATCATAAAACTTTGACCCACTTTAGGATCAATGAAAAACTCTTCATATTGGTGAAAAAGGAAATAGTGCAGAGGTTATCATACAACTTTGACCCACTTTAGGATCAATGAAAAACTCTTCATATTGGTGAAAAAGGACAACCCACTTTAGGATCAATGAAAAACTCTTCATATTGGTGAAAAAGGAAATAGAGCAGAGGTTATCATACAACTTTGACCCACTTCAAAGGATGACACTGTAAATCACTTACGCATGTGATTTACATTTACGTTGATAAGAGAGGAGAGTTAATCAAGGATTCTACTTTATCCTGATGATTAATACGAATAAAATTGGCATCCATGACGAATTGGTACGTCTCTCAAAATCAAAATGATTTACAGTAAGATTTGTTTCCAAGGCTTACGAGACCAAGTAAACAACAGTACGAGCGCGCTGACCTAAACGTATGCAGTGTCCTTGATATTTAACCTGTGTGCAAACAAATGTTCTTATCTAAAACACAACTCGGTGTAGAAGTCTATATTTAACCACCAGCACACAGCATAAGTACACATTAACGTGTCGACTTGCATTATGCATTAACAGGGAGATATATTTACAAAGCAGATTTTAAATAACTCTAGATTTCAGGTAACATTTAATTCACTTCCTAAATGGAATTATAGTATATTGCCCTCTGAAAATTGCAATGCGAAAATTCATTTCTATTAACCTACACGAGAAATCAAGGATATCTGGACTCAGTTGAATTAGAGAAACCAAGAAAAATACAATAAATTAATACAATGGGTATTTGTCACGCATGAATGCACCTTCTTACTTCTTGATATTTTTTCCTAAGTATCAAATAGGATCCACTCATCTCTATTCCAAATGAAATGATGACGTCATGTTCGCTTATTGAAAAAACAGATGCAAATACCAAAGTCTTTAGCAGGAACTCATGCTTGTACATTGTTTATACATCGGTTGATGACATCGCATATTGCATAACTTGCATGTTTATAAAGTAATAATGGTAGACACCAAAAATATACTGTTAGACAAATATAAACAAATAAAATTGATTATGCTGAAAATAAGTTCGTAACCCACAAATTTCAATTTACATTTTATATTCATACCAAAAGGAATAAGGTCATCTCCCAAGAGCATAAATGTGACTTGGTTCGCATTGTTTCCATGGATATGAGCAAAGGTTTTTTACTTACATCGTTAGGATATCCAGGAGGGTGATCACGGAGGACTTTTCCGGTTGTGAAAGTCCGGCGAGGGACGACTGTTTTGTGTAAATTGGACCATAACCTTGTCATTGACGCCATCTTAATGACGATAAGAATTTCCGCGTGTCAGAAAATCACGTACGCCAAGTCGAGCGTTTGCATACTACTATCGACTGCATTAACCTGATTTTATTGTAGTAGTTATAAAGCTTACCACAATTGCTCTCAGAAAATAATTCTATTCAGATAACATATTCTTGCCAAGAAAATGCCTGAAGACGTTAGAATAATATTTTGTCATGTTTTATAAAATCGTTGTTTGAATAAACAGGTTTCTACACAAAACATTACACCAATCGGTCCTATTGTCATATCACACACACATATATATTTATATATATATATATATGACGTATTGTTATATAACATTTCATGGTATGCCTGCTGGAAAACATAGACAATAGAAATTGTTTTGATATTTTGTAACATTTTAAAGGTTTCTTTTGAAGGCTTTGAATACTTCAGAATGGACATTGAAGTACATCAACTCAATAGATGCATTACTAGTGTCCCCACCTTATATTAAGAAAAGTTTGCTGAACGCACAAAAAATAGATACTCGCAAAAAATTCCAAATCTATAGTGAAATCATACTAAAATGCTATAAAATGGACACGGTAGAATGACACCCTTTCAATTTTGTTGGTTTTATTATAGACTTAAAATGTTAAAGACTACAGAATACAAAAATAATTCTTCTTTGTACCTAAGTCCTTCGTCCTTCTTGGGCTCGTCAGTGATACTACATCATACAGCTGTTTCGTCCTTCTATGGCTCGTCAGTGATACTACATCATACAGTTGTTTCGTCCCTCAAGGAATCGTCAGTGATGCTACATCATACAGCTGTTTCGTCCATCAAGGAATTGTCAGTGATGCTACATCATACTGCTGTTTCGCAATTCTAGGACTCGTCAGTGATGCTAAGGGCCTAAGGCAATCTTGCCAATAAGGTCTGGAGAAAGAAGAGAGAAATATTTTATAGAGATTTTATCTGTCTTCTGTCAATAGTTAACATCATGTTTGTTAATGGCTTGAAAATTCAATAAATAAACTAAGGAAGCAGGGACGTTACCAACTAGAAATTAAACATTCATCTTGCTTATTTTAGAACTTGATGGAAAGTTGTCCTTGTTGGTTTCATAGCAAGAAAAGGTCGAGGTAAGGGGCTGGTGTAGTAAAGCTTTGTCATTGATTTCAGGTTTGGTATATACGATGGTCAATCAATCTCTCTAAAGCCACGACATCAACAACAGAAAAGCTTGAACTTAGACGTGAAGGCTGTCACAGAAATCAGTTCTAATCCCTAATGCATCAAAAGTGGTTAACAAGTTTAAAGGGTCCATCTCTGGAGGGATTGTACAAAACATCACACATGTGAATAGTATCTTCCAATGCATATTGAGAATGAGATACAGTTTAATCATTTTAAAACAAAACACACCTCAGAAAATTACTTTCCCGTGGATTTTTGGCTACAATAAATACAACGCATTAAAAAGTGTGATATACCAGAAAAACAGACAAAGAAGTTTGTCGGAATTGATATTCTATGACTAAACAAAAAGAAAATATCTTCATCTCAGGAGGACAGGGCCCATATTCATATTTAAATAACTGACATGCAAGTCCAGATTTAGTTCATCTCATCCAAATCGCAATCATAAATTGGAAATGTAGGTCGCTTCTTTCGAAATGGCAAGGTTACATGTTTCATTAAACGTGCGCCAGAATGCTTATATATAACGCTGTGACGGTCAGTGTATATATTGGAACATGTGTCTACCTAAAAAAACACACATGTTTACATACAATGGACTGCAAATGTATATGCACACTACTGCACAATATCAACTTTTGTAGAAGGCAAACATAGTCGATATCATTCGAAACTCTGGTAGCTAGAGTCGATCACTACCTAGCGAAATACATTAACAAAGTTGGTACGCTATGAAATTCCAGAAAAGTGCTTTAATGTATCGCCTGTTGCTATGGATATGAAGCGATCTGGACAAATCAAAATCGGCATAAAAGGATAGGATACTTCATTTGAAGGTATGTAATATTTTTCATGCTGACCTACAAACAAGCTTATAGCATCAGACTTCCGTCCTTGGCTTGCACCCATGTACGTGACGGTGCGTGTTTATCTGTGTTAGTGTTAAACGGTAGGCTGTCGTTTGTCTATGCTTGTTACCTTTACATAAAATACTACTTCACCTAAATAAGTCTATCTTGCCGTCAATGTTTTTGCATATACGCTTCAGAAAACATTTGAAAGGAGTTGTCATTCTCTTTAAATATATCAATTTCAGCTATAAATGGATGAAGTGGCATAATGGCAGAGTGAAAAATAAATCATAAAATAAATTATTTGAGTTCTTCATCAAAAGCTTAATATTTCATATAGGTGCTTCCTACCACTAATCAAAATGATTCTAGTGAATGTTCATAGATCTGTCTTAGCTGCTGCCAAATGTTGACATACAAATCTTTAACACAGAGTTTTAATAGATACATGTTTTTGAAAATTGCTGTTGCCATGATGGCCTCGTTGGTTTTTTTTCTGTTTTCTGCTATTTCTTTCCGCTTTTATTTAAACATATTTTATTATCATGAAGAAGTAGTAGTCAATACAAATTGGGATAAAGAAAGAGTAGAGCCAAACAAAAATGAACTGCGTCATACAGCTGCTTCGTCGTTGTATGACTCGTCAGTGATGCTACATCATACAGCTGCTTCGTCCTTGTATGACTCGTCAGTGATGCTACATCATACAGCTGCTTCGTCCTTGTATGACTCGTCAGTGATGCTACATCATACAGCTGCTTCGTCCTTGTATGACTCGTCAGTGATGCTACATCATACAGCTGCTTCGTCCTTGTATGACTCGTCAGTGATACTACATCATACAGCTGTTTCGTCCCTGTATGACTCGTCAGTGATGCTACATCATACAGCTGCTTCGTCCTTCTAGGACTCGTCAATGATGCTGGAAGTTAAATTTGAAAGTGAAATTGAGGCGAATTATGAACATCCAATGTAATCGAAAAAAAAATGTCACAATTTAGATGGGGAGGTGCACTAGCCCCATAATTCTGTAAATTTTATATATCTTTGAAATTGCAAGCACATGTACATACAACATGAGCAATGGCACTATATTTTGTCATGATATGTGTTCCCTGTGACCCTACCATTTTCAAAGCTTTTCTGTCTGTTGTTTACATATTAAGAACGAATCATTTTGTCGTTTGCAATTGGGTGACGTTTAAAACACTTCCTACATGACTGTGTTTACTTCTAGTTATGATAGAGTGCTGTTGTGTTATACCCTACTGGAGACCTTGCCTAGAAATCTTCAGTTTTCATAACTGCTTTACACATAACATTCTACGGGTTTTCAAAAGGATGTCGAGGTATCTTCTGATGTTGGATCAAAAAGCACGTAAGACCAAAGAAACCATGTGCTAGGGATACATATTATATCAAACTACATCCATTGTGTTGTTCATTATTTCTGGTAGACGGTATAGGTAAAGGATATAGGTAGATATTGGTATATAAAAATATTTTCTGAAATTAGTGAAGAATAGTAAATATACCACAACCACATTCATCCGAACATTAATAATAGTTTTCTGACAGTAGAATACCATTGACGAAGTTTAGACAACTTGTATACTATTAGAGCCTGAAGGTTTTGTTTCTCTGTTGCCAATCACAAACAAAACATTAGATCATTTCGATTATTTTTGTAACTAAGTGTCATTTTTCTATGGTGACGTCTGTTTCCTCCAGTATTATCACATGAAGATATAAGAATTGAGGATATCGCTGTGGGAAAAGGGGGTGTTGGATAGATTGTAAAACAGTGCTCCAATCCTTCATACAATATATAGTGGGAGAGGGGGTGTTGGTTAGATTGTAAAACAGTGCTCCAATCCTTCATACAATATATAGTGGGAGAGGGGGTGTTGGTTAGATTGTAAAACAGTGCTCCAATCCTTCATACAATATATAGTGGGAGAGGGGTTGTTGGTTAGATTGTAAAACAGTGCTCCAATCCTTCATACAATATATAGTGGGAGAGGGGGTGTTGGTTAGATTGTAACACAGTGCTCCAAACCCTCATACAATATATAGTGGGAGAGGGGTTGTTGGTTAGATTGTAAAACAGTGCTCCAATCCTTCATACAATATATAGTGGGAGAGGGGGTGTTGGTTAGATTGTAACACAGTGCTCCAATCCCTCATACAATATATTGTGGGAGAGGGGGTGTTGGTTAGATTGTAAAACAGTGCTCCAATCCTTTATAAAATCTATCGTGAGAGAGGGGATGTTGGTTAGATTGTAAAACAGTGCTCCAATCCTTTATACAATATATCGTTAAGTCGATTATTTTGGCGGGGTTGATATTTCGCGGTACTTTTATATGATCGCGGACACTTAATCCGTGAAATAATGAGAGGCGTGTGTTTTACATGTTATTTTACGTTTAGAATGTGAATTAGTTAAACGTTTTAAAAGAAAATCGAGAGAATTGTCATACAATACTATTGATAAGTACATAGGAAAGGGATCGGACAGATATTCACGTGTAACTTTGTGACTGGTCAGTAGTCTGATTCGTGAAGTTAATGCAAAGCTGGTGATGGTTTGATATGAATTTTTTTTTGAAAGAAGCGTTAGTAATTTGTATTTTATTCGGTTGTTGCATGCAGTGAATCAGTAACATATTCCATACATTCAGAACGAGGGCGCGGTCTTCATCGCGGGCTGTTGAAAACAAGAGACTCGTTTAGTTGTGATGGGGACAGAAACAGTCAGTGAAACGACAAGAATGACTATATTGTTTGGCAACTGAAAACTGGCTTTCATATTGTGAAAAACGGATCCTGTAATATCCTAATGTAAACCCAGAATTCGTGTTATTACTGACTTAGATACAGGTGTTACGTATGTGCATGTCCGTGGTATTATCATCACAACGTTAAGGTTAAAACCAGAATTTGTATTATCATGATGTAAAAAACCAGAATTTGTATTATCATGATGGAAAAAACCA